AACCATCCCTTTTATATCTGTTTCTGTGAGTCTCTTTTTGTTTGTTTTTGAGCTGAGGCTTGAAGGGTGAGTGTTTTGTAATTCATAAGATATTTTGTTGTGAATGGTTAATAATGTTTATTGAATGCTCACAGGCACTGGGTTGCCTTATATGAAACATAAATACTATTCCTAACTCCATCAGACTGGGGACATAGAAGCTCAGAGAAGTTAAGAAAAGTTTTCTAGATCTCAAAGGAGAAAGTGGCCGAGCTGGGATTGGACCCCAGGCATTTCCGACTCAGCAGTCTGTTCTGTCAAATTGTATGTCATGAGGTCCAGTCTGCAGAGAAAGGTGGGAGAGGCTTCAAGAAGCTGGTACAGCCCAGGGTGGGGTTCAGTGGATGGAGTGTCGTCCATGGACCAAGAGGTCCTGGTTCAATTCCTGGTCAGGGCGCATGCCTGGGTTTGGGCTCAATCCTTAGTAGGGGGCGTGCAGGAGGGAGCCAGTTGATGTTTCTCTCACATATCAATGTTTCTATCTCTCCCTCTCTCGCTAAAAAAATAGATCAATAAAAACGTATTTTTAAAAGAAGAAGAAAAAACTGGTATTTTTGCCCCATTTTGAGGTATGAAAAGGACAAGGTGGGGGAAAGATGCTCCAGGCAAAGAGAACAGCCTTTGGAAAGGCTTGGAGGTATGTAGTGAAGCCGGCAGTCGTTCCATGTGTCCGGAGTGGAGGTTCTGTGAAGTGCAGTCGGTTCACTGTGACTATGTGTTAGAATGCAGATTCTTTGACCCCTTCCCCAGACTTACTGGATTGATGTCAGGAGATGAGAAGCACAGAAATCTGTGTTTTTCATCAATGCTCCACAAGTGCTTCTTATGCACTCCAGCGTTTGGGGGCTGCTGGTGCAGTGCATGGGCTGGTGTAGGCAGTGCAGCAGGGGGAGTTGGGAGGAGCAGGTGTGTGAGTCCTTGTGAGCTCCTCAGCTTCGTGTCCGGTTTTCTTACTGCAGTGCTCTGTCAGGAGGCCTTTGTTCTTGACTCTCTGATTCTAAAAGTGAACTAACTTTTGACAAAGGACACTGTGGCTGTAGCCTCATTTTGTCATCTGTGTGTATGCTTGCTGTAAGATTAGGTTCTCGAAGTCAGAGCCTTGCCCCACGCAGCACTAGATAAAGCATTGTTGTTCTACAGCTGGAGTTTCGGATCCTTTCATGTGCTAATAAGCTGGTATACATTGACAGACTTGAAGATGAGGATTCAGATGTACTCTGGAGCGAAGGTGTTTCCTCACGGAATCTCCTGTGTGACTGGGTGTTGGACTGTTACCGATTTATCGCAGTTGGTTGGTTAGTGGGCAGGTTCCGTGGTTTTGAGCTCGACTCTGTTCATGGGTGAGGAACAGCAAGTGTTCTGAGTTGTTTGGTTCTTCGCAAGGATTTCTACCTGGCATGCATGTACTGCTTTGAATTTACAAGTTGATACTTGCTTTAAGACACTTTATTATTTACTTTGTAATTTTAAAATGTCAGTTATCCTTATGTGTAATTGTGGCCCTGGGCCATAAGGAAGGTGACTGCTACAGTGCATGTTCTGAGATAAATGACCAGATTGTTCAGTAAGGATAACCAGTAGTTATGTATAACTGCAGTGTGAATGATGGGGGGTGTGTGTGTGTGTGTGAAGTGTTACAGGCATTTCTGAAGCCTCTACTGACCGTGAGTGTTCGGTTTCTCTGACAGTGAGGGATTTTTTACGGTCCCACTACTGAGTCACTACTCATACCTGACTTAAAAAGCTGTACTTTGGATTTTTTAAAATTTACAATTTAAACTAATTTCAGTCTAAAGCCAGTATAACATGCTGAGAGAAGGATGAGGTTGGGGGGGGGGAGAACGCACATTAAGTGGTTGCCTTTGCACACACCCCAACCAGGGGTTGAACCCACAGCCCAGATATGTGCCCTGACTGGGAATCAGACTGGCAGCCTTCTAGGATGATGGTTAACCAGCGGAGCCACCCGGCCAGTGAATATTGTTTTGATGATTTGGGAGCTTGTATAAGTTCTAATATACTGTTTTCCCAAGTCTCATGATGTCATCACCTAAGTGTATTCTTTAACTGGAGCCTGTCGAATAGCACTTTCTTACTGCAGTCATTTCTTTTTTCTTTCTTTTTTTTTTTATCCTCACCCGAGAACATTTTTCCATTTTTTGTTCAGCTAGAGCGGGAGGAAGAGAGAGAGAGAGACATCGATGTGAAGGGACACATCGAGTGGCTGCCACCCGCACAACCAACCAGGGCCGGGGACAAACTGCAACCGAGGTAGGTGCCCTTAGCGGGAACCGAACCTTGGTCTCTCTGTACCGCAGGCCGACGCTCCAACCACTGAGCCAAACCAGCCAGGGCCGCAGTCATTTCTTACCCCCTTTCCCCACTGTGCCACAAAGAATGGATAGATACTCTCATTTTTATGAAACTCCTTAAAATTGATGAGAATTTCTAGTTTTTATACTCATTATCATATGTAATGTCCTTGTCACAGTTGCCTGTTTTGTAACACATACATCGTGTTAGGAAATCTGGGGTAGAGTGTGGCAGGTAAGTCTTGGGGAGTGGCTCCCAGTGCTGTGCCCCTGCTCTGACTGCATCCCATCGAGTCTCTGAGTCTCAAGGCATCTAATATTGCTGTAGCCAATTAGGGCATCTCTCCTGGGAACTGAGCTTTCAGATCCCAGACACTGACATGTGGCCTGGGTAGCTGACTCATTTATGTGGTGCTCGAGGGAAAGATACTCGAGCTCCCTTTCTAGGCTCTCTGAGCTGTCTTGATGTCCTGCCCTTCCTGAATCTTGAGTCATTCATCCCACTCTGATTCTGGGAAGACTGTTCCCTTTTTTCGGAGATGGTTTCTGTTGTTTGCAACTAAAAATTGTACTTTGCCTCCTGCTCTAGTTGCCTCTGCTGGTATCTGTAAGTCTCTTCTTTCCATGCCAGTAATCTAGTTAACTTTTTAACTCAGTCATCACACACTAATGCAAAAACCTGTTGTTGCACACCTTTTGTAGCTTAGTCTCATAGAGATCACTTCCTGTAGACTTTCAGGGTAATTACACATACTTTCATAATAAAGTTATGATATATTTGGCTGGCTCCTCATTAGACAGCAGCTCTTAAAGGGGTCAGTTAAAGTACAGGTTTTGTGGAAACATGTTATGCTGTTTATCTGGTCACTGGATTCTCTTGCCACTTAATCTATTTTGTAGCATGATTGGTGGCGTGTGCATTTATTTTGTAGCATGATTGGTGGCATGTGCATTTATTTTGTATTATGATTGGTGGCGTGTGCATTTATTTTGTAGCATGATTGGTGGCGTGTGCATTTATTTTGTAGCATGATTGGTGGCGTGTGCATTTATTTTGTATTATGATTGGTGGCGTGTGCATTTATTTTGTAGCATGATTGGTGGTGTGTGCATTTATTTTGTAGTATGATTGGTGGCGTGTGCATTTATTTTGTAGCATGATTGGTGGCGTGTGCATTTATTTTGTATTATGATTGGTGGCGTGTGCATTTATTTTGTAGCATGATTGGTGGCGTGTGCATTTATTTTGTATTATGATTGGTGGCGTGTGCATTTATTTTGTAGCATGATTGGTGGCGTGTGCATTTATTTTGTAGCATGATTGGTGGCGTGTGCATTTATTTTGTAGCATGATTGGTGGCGTGTGCATTTATTTTGTAGCATGATTGGTGGCGTGTGCATTTATTTTGTATTATGATTGGTGGTGTGTGCATTTATTTTGTATTATGATTGGTGGTGTGTGCATTTATTTTGTAGTATGATTGGTGGCGTGTGCATTTATTTTGTAGCATGATTGGTGGCGTGTGCATTTATTTTGTAGCATGATTGGTGGTGTGTGCATTTATTTTGTAGCATGATTGGTGGCGTGTGCATTTATTTTGTAGCATGATGGGTGGCGTGTGCATTTATTTTGTATTATGATCAGTGGCATGTGCATTATTAAGGACTCTTTGGTCCCAGGATATCGATCTGTGGTGAGTCCATGTAATGTCAGTTGTATATTCTGAAGGGGCATATTTAGTAAATAGATTTAGTAAATTTTTAACACAAATACTTTTACTTTTTAAACCAGAATATTATTACTGTTATTGAAAGATGCTAGATGGAGAAAAAATTCCCAGATCCTAAAACACTTTGTTATTAGTGTCTTTGTATGTTTAATTTTGTATACTCTGCATTTTAAAAAACAGCTATAAAATATATATACTAAGTTTGTATATGTTTCCAGATTACTTCCAAGTAACATTGTGGTCAGTATGGTTAGATTAGTCATGTTTTTCCTAAGACTTAAACTTCTCTACCTGGTTATTAGATGTATGATCCAGACTGCTCCAAGCCTCAGTCTTCTTACCATAGAAAGTGCTGTTGTGCAGAGTAAGTGAACTGCCAGCAGAGAGTCTAGCATGGCCTCTGGCTTAGGCGCTTGAAATGGTAATTACACCTCTCCTTGTTTGTTTGGATTCATTAGGAAAATGTGCCCTATATATTTTGACCCTTTAAAGTTTTATATTTCTTATTCTTAAAATAATCTTAACCTTGTAAAAAACTCTTTTTTTAAGAACTTGGGTACATGTCTGTATTTCTTTGAAAAGTATGTTTAGGAGTTAGGATTATGTGAGAAAGGCGTTCTTTCTTTCTTTCGTAGCTCTTTACATTGTGTCTTCTCTAGAGGACTCGGGGGTGGGCTCCACATGTTTGTGCTGGTGAAAGCTGGGTAACTATTCCCCGTTTTGGAATCCACACCATGTTCGCCATTTTACCAGAGAGGTGGCCTTCTTTAATGTGGGGTCTTACTCTATAGGATAGGACAAGAATTCTACATTTAAGTGTGTGTATTTTTCTACATTTTAAAAAATTGTTGAAAAAGTTTAACATTTTACTACCAATTTTTTGTGCTTTCCTCATTTTTTTTCTCCCTTTATTTTTCAGAATGAACCTAGTGATAGAGAAGATGGCCTCAACAAAAGGCATCATGTGACAGACTCTGAGAATGATGACCCCTCAAATCTTAACGCTAGTGACTCTGAAAGTGAGGAGCTGCGAAGGCGAAGAGACAGTGACTCTGAGTCAGAGGAGCACGCAGAGCCTCCTGCCAGCGGCTCTGAAGACGAGGCTGTCAATCCGCATGGGAGTGACTCCGAGAGTGAGGGCGCCAAGAGGGTGCCTGTCAGTGACTCTGAGAACGAGGAGCTTCTTAATGGGCACGCCAGTGACTCTGACACTGAAGACGTCAGCAGGCGTCCTGGCAGTGATTCCGAGGCGGAGGAGGTCCGGAAGAGTCCTGCCAGTGACTCGGAAACAGAGGATCCTCTAAAACCTCAAGTTAGCGACTCTGAGAGTGAGGAGCCTCCAAGGCCCCAAGCCAGTGACTCTGAAAATGAGGAGCTTCCCAAACCTCAGATCAGTGACTCGGAAAGTGAGGGGCCTCAGAGGACTCAGGCCAGTGACTCAGAAAATGAGGAACTTCCCCAACCTCGAATCAGTGACTCAGAAAGTGAGGATCCCCCAAAGCACCAAGTCAGTGACTCTGAAAATGAAGAGCTTCCCAAACCCCGGATCAGTGACTCAGAAAGTGAGGATCCCCCAAAGCACCAAGTCAGTGACTCCGAAAACGAGGAGCTTCCCAAACCCCAAATTAGTGATTCGGAAAGTGAGGACCCTCCAAGGCACCAGGCCAGTGACTCGGAAAATGAGGAGCGCCCCAAACCCCGTGTCAGTGACTCGGAGAGCGAGGAGCCTCGGAAGGGACCTGCCAGCGATTCAGACACAGAGGAGGCCTCCAGACATAAACAGAAGCCAGAGTCCGACGGTGACAGTGATGGGGAGCATAAAGGGGACGACATGGAGGTGCAGAGTAACACCTTCCATTTGGATAGCCATATAGACAGGAGAAGGGTTCCCAGTTCTGACAGCGAGGAGGAAGAGTCCAAAAGGCCAAAACTTGACAGTGATGAAGATGAAGAGAAAGAGGGAGAGGAGGAGGAAGTAGCAAAGCGAAAAGCTGCTGTACTTTCTGATAGTGAAGAAGAGAAGCCATGTAAGGAATCATTTTGGGCTGTTAATCCATAGTTTTACTTATTGTCTAGAAGCTTATTAACTATAAAGCACTGTGTCTTTTTCTAGAATGTTAGATCTGTATTCTTTCATTCAACTTGAAGTTCAAAAGTATCACCAGGACACTGGTTTCCCTGATTTTCATTAACTAATCTTAATATTACATTTCTTTGAGTTGTTCTAGCAGCATTTCTTAACTTCTGACTGCCTCAAAGTGATAGACTGAATGTCCATGGGAATATGAAAGATTTGGAAAGGATAATATTTCAAAGCAGTATGTTTATATGGAAACCCAAGTGTTAACCAGAGTTAGCTGTGGGACTCAGACAGCTCGTGCCCAGAAGCCATCCAGATGACCGGGCTCTCGTGTGTGCACACCTCTTTATGTAGAGACTTTGTGTCTGCAGAGTATTTCATTTCAGCCTTTGCTACTTGATTACTTTTTTTATGAAAGTTACCTTTTTTGGAAAGGACGTGTTCCCGTATAACCTGACAGTGTTTTCAGGAGAAGGAGAAAGAGCACCGCACCTGTACTGACTTAACTAAGGGAGCCGAGTGATGGCAGACCACCTGCAGCCATCAGGGACCATGGCACTCCCTCAGAGGGATGGCCAGCCTTTTATCTCTGCTAACACTGAGCAGTGTAGAAAGTGTTCTCATTATCCACATCAGGCTAGTCTTATTTTCTCTTTCCTGAAAGGAGAGGTAGCTGTTTCATTTTTCATCTTTTGGCCTCTTTTTCCTAAACAATGATAAATAATTATAGGGTGATTCTGATTGAACCTTTTATTTATTTATTTTATTCCAAACTGTATTTCAGGAGGCCTTTGATTTAGCTACATGGTACCATTTTAAAGTGTCTGTTGTTCTTCTCATACAGTGACTGTGACAGAGAAAGACTAAGGATGGTTTCTTTTTCTATAGCAGCAAAGAAGAGTCGTATTGTCTCTGATGCAGAGGACTCTGACAGCGATGTTATATCAGACAAATCAAGCAAAAGAGAGAAGACTGCAGCATCTGACAGTGAAGAAGCAGGGAAAGACTTATCTGATAAGAAAAGCGAAGAGAAGGATCTATTTGGGAGCGACAGTGAGTCAGGGAATGACGAAGAGTAAGTGATGTACAGCATGAGTTCTCAAGGGTTCACGAAGGTGGTATACAGCTGTTTGTCTTCTAAGTTTTTAAAACTTGCATTAAAATTTTGTGTTGAGGTATAATATGCCTTATCTAAGTGCATGACATTGGGGGATTTGGGATTTTAGTTCCTGAACTGTTGATACACACTATGACATGGATGAATCTCAGAATACTACCTTACATGAAAAAATTCAAGAGGACATGTCTCATTTTCACTTATGTGAAGTTCAAGAATAGTAAAACTAATCTGGTGACCGAAATCAGAATAGTGGTTGACTCCAGGATGTTAAAGCGGAAAACTGACTTCTGAAAGGGACCCCAAGCAAACCTTGTAGGGAGACGGGACTCTTCTGTATCTTACTCAGGACAATGGTTACTTGAATGTGTACATTTATCAAAACCCATAGAAATGGATGGGAGAAGGGCACATTTTATTATATGTAAATTATACCCTCTGAGAAAAAGATTTTGGTTCCTGTGCAGATGAGAAGAAAGCAAATGCAAAGTTTTTTATATTTACTTCTCTTCTAGAAATCTTATTGCAGACATATTTGGAGAATCTGGTGATGAAGAGGAAGAAGAATTTACAGTAAGTATAGGATGGAAATATTTTCTTTGTGACTATGTTTTTTGTTTGCTTTTATGGCAGTGGTTCTCTAATAGGTGATCACAATAAATAGAAATAGACAACTGTGATTATTCATTAAAAACATTTTTAATTTCAGAAATTAAAATTACTTTTTTTAAAACTCTGGAACAAAGGGATTCAGAAAGTGAATTAAAAGGGTTTGCAAAGGTGTAAAAGGAAAATGACAGGCAAAATTGAATTACAGAGTGGAGCAGGGAACACATTAAGAGACAATAAAAGGCATTTTGTAATGCTAAAAAAAGATTCACACTAGAAAATGTAAGAAAATAAAACATAATTTATACATGAGAAGGTTGAACATTGTTAATTGGAATCCCAGAAGGAGAAGGAAGAAATACACAAAGTCATGTCTGGTGTGGTTTAAAATAGATGTAAAATTAAACCACATGATGGCAGTAACACATTGGGAATATACATGGAATTGATGTGTTTACAGGCTTTGCAAATGTTTGTAAAAGCCCATTAGACTTGGATAAGTTAGGGTGCTCCTTGTAATCTCTAAAGTGACCACTAAAAAAAATAGTGGAATATATAACTTCCAACCTAATAAAGGGGTGGGGGAGATAATAGCTAATCAATTCAAAAGAAGGCAAGAAAGGAAAAAAAAACATTGACAGGGGGACATTGAATTAGAGAGTAGTAAGTACATAATGAGGTAACAGATTTGAACTTGGGTAATATCAGAAATTACATTAAATTGAGTTAAATGTCCCTATTAAAAGACAAATATGGTCAGACTGGATTTTTAAAAACCTGCTATATGCTAATTTCAAGATTCATCTAAAACAAGATAAAGAAAAGTTTAAAATAAAAGTATAGAAAAAGATACTTGATCTGAACATTACCCAAAAGAAAACCGGTGTAGCTATATGAATAGCAAAGAGGTAGACTTTAAGGTAAAAAAACATTATTTGAGATAAAGAGGATCACTTTATACTGATAAAAGTGTTTAAAATTATACCTAGCTGTGTTCATACAAAACAAGTATGAATATACAAAACAAAAGTTGGCCGAACTCTAAAGAGAAATGGACAGATGTGCAATCTATGCAGAATGTAACTGAAAGAACAAGCAGACCAAAAAAACTGCAGAAGAGTCTCTTTTTATATATATAATCTGGATAAAAATCTTTTGGTGATTAAAAAAGTTAAATATTTCTTCTGTTCTATGACTTGCCTTTTTACTTTCTTAATAGAGTCTTGATGAACAAAACTTCTTAATTTTAATATGTCAACTTTACCAGACCTCTTCGTTATGTTGAAAGTTTTTAATTCAAAGAAAATTTTTATATGTCCCCAAAGTAAAGATATTCTCCTGAGTTACACTGTAGAAGCTTGGTTGTTTTATCTTTCCCATGCAGTTGTGCAATCTACCTGGAATAGGTTTTGTGTAGCATGAATGTGAGGGAGTCAAGGTTTTTCCCCGTTTGGAATATGCAGTTGACCCAGCCCATTTGTTCCCACTACTGTAAGATGCCATCTTTGTCCATAGAGCAAGCATCTGTGTATATTATCCAATGTTTCCACAGTATCTTTCCTGTTCTGTTGGTCTCTTTTATCCTTGCACCATTGATAATTTTTATATTTAGCTGGTGATGTCCTCTAAAGTTGTTATTCTTCAAGATTGACTTGACTTTTCTTGGCTTGCGTTTCTGTATAAATTTTAAATCAAGCTTTTGCAAAAAGTACAAAGTATAGACAACATTTTCTGAATGCAAATGCAATGAAATTGAAAATTAATAATAACAGTAGCAGCCAAAACACCCTTGCCACCCATAAATGTAAAACTTCTTTGTTATACAGTTCTTGGGTTAAAAAGAAATCATTCCTTTAATTACTAAGCAAGAGAGAGTGAACTAGATGAATCAGCAGGTATTGAGAACCTGTCTGCCAGAGGTGGTTGGAAACTGCCCTCGTGGAGCTCATGCTCAGGTCAACGTTTTACAAGAACGAGACACGTTTCTCTAGTTTGGAGAGTTAACGTCAGTTTTGTTATAGACTCATTTCAGTGAGTAAAACATACATCCCAACAACCAGTGGGAAGACATGACATATCTTTCTAAATATGACATAAGAGTTAAAAGCTATAATGAAAAGATTGACCATTTATTTCAGTTACATAAAGAATTGGAAAACAGTACTATAAACAGAAGTAAAGTGTACAAATGTAAGGATTGTGTAGTTCCTGTCACTTAAAGAGAGCTGATTTCCCTGATTTTTAAAGAGGTTTGTCATACCCGTGAGGCAAAGATCCAATAGAAAAATAGGCAGAGGATATTGAGACTTCACAGAGGATTACAAATGGCTTTTAAACATGTTGGCGAAAAAGCCCATTCTTACTCATAGTAACAGAATGCAAAGAAAGCTATACAGATGCTTTTCTTTTTCAGTCCAGGAATTGGCAACTATCAATGTTTGATCGCCTGTGAAGGTGGGAAAACAAGTGCATGCATGCCTTGCTGGAACAATTAATTGGCATAACCTCTTGGAAGACAGTTTGGGAAATGTTTCTCCAAATTTCAGATACACATATCTAAATGTCAGTAGGGAAATGGATAAACAAATTATGATTGCAGTCATATGGTGAAATAGTCTAAGGCCTTCAAAAGAATGAGGTGGTTTATGCTGATAGGAATTGATCTCCAGATTTTATTGTTACATGTGGAAAGTGCATAATGATCCACTGTACCCAGTGTGCATAGGAGTGTGCTGCCATCTGCACAGTAATGGTAGTGAGTGTAACATCTGCGGAAGTGCTTGTGTAAAGGACTCTAGCTGGAAGAAGACACAAGAAAGCTAGTGACACTGGTGGCTGGGGTAGAAGGGAGCTTTTTTGCAATATACCTTTTGATACCTATTTAATTTTTGTTCTTTGTGAATATGTTGCACTTAAAGTACAAAATTTAAGAGCAGTTACACAGAAGAAAATCTAATGTGGCTGTGATAGCTCTAGCTCCCTTACCCTCCTTTTAGGGTTTTAACCAGGAAGATCTGGAAGAAGACAAGAGTGAAGCACAGGTGAAAGAAGCTGAAGATTCAGATTCTGATGATAACATAAAGAGAGGAAAACAGTAAGTTTGTTTTATTTAAAAGGAATTTTTAAAAGCAAATATGAAAATGAAGGTAGAGACTGTCAAACTTTATTTTTTCCTATTTTGGCTTCTGATTAAGTATAGGAAGGAGTTTGTTCCATTTTTCTCCTGTCTATTTCTCTGTATACAGTGCTGTCCAAAAACTATTTGCTCTTATTTTTCTTTTATTTGCTCTGTGCTCATCTGTTATAATTTGTGGAGTTATATGGTGCCAGGCTCTTAATTTATATCTCAACAAATCACTCTTCCAAAAAATGTGCTATATAAGGAAAGCTGATTTGGGGGTCCTGGTGGGAATAAAGCTAAAGTCTTAATTACAAAATATTATTTGATTGTATTTCACATACTTTTCTTGAGATGGTTGTAATCTGTTCAGAAAAATGTGGTATCTTGAAAGGTGCCAAACAGAATGATTCATTAGCTGCTGTTTACAGTTGTAAAGATGACGATTTAAAAAATAGTTTCCTTTTTAATTCCTGGTGACATGCTGAGGAGCTTGGTAATACCTTTGGAAATTATCACATTAATCATATTTTACTTATATGATAGTTGCAGAGAGCAAGTTAACTTCCTCTTTAAGTGTAATGATTCAGGTGAAAACAAGTTTGCAGCTCTTAGCAAGTTTGTAGATGGCCAGCTTCATCTATCATATTTTAAGTTGTATTGTTGAAAGGCAGCCGTTTATTTTTCTTTTTTTCTGCTTATGCTATCGAAGACAAAAATACCCAAATAACTAAACACCACTGTTCCCCCACAAAAGGCAGTGTAGCTATAACTAAACTACGGAATTGCAGGCAGTGTCCCTGAACGAGATCTTGAAGTTTGAAGTGTTCTTTCTCGAGCTGATACATGCAAGTGTTAACATAGTGTATGAAAAGTTTGTGGCTATTAGTGTTTAATGTGTGACAGCTGGGGTAGGACAGAGGTTGACCATAAAGCCTAGGACCATGTGCTCTTGTAAAAGCACCTTATAAGCACTTGTAGTACTTTAAAAGGAGGTAGCTCTCCGCTGAATTAGAATTAAGAAAGTTGGTGGTTCTTAACTGTGATCAGAGGAAATACGTATTTAAAAGGCAATGTGTATATCACTTGATTTCTGTGTTACTGCTTATTAGTATGGACTTTCTGTCGGATTTTGAGATGATGTTACAGCGGAAGAAGAGCATGAGCGGTAAGCGCAGACGGAATCGAGACGGTGGCACCTTCATCAGCGATGCTGACGACGTGGTGAGCGCCATGATTGTCAAGATGAACGAAGCTGCTGAGGTGAGTCGGCTCTTCTTTCGGCTCAGTTTGTTGTGTGCTTCTTCGGTTTGTTTTTTAGGTTAACTTAAACTACATTTAAGATACTTTGTTTTTTATAATAAAGCCTTTACTGTTCTAAATTTTAAGCTCAGAAATAGTTTAAATTTTTTAGTAACATGTTTAGGAAAAAGTGAAAAGGTATAAGTATTAAGTAAAATGAGCCTTTTTTGCCTAATGGCTTTGCTGATTTTATGGGGGAATGATTTTGCTCTTGAGTTTGGCTTGTTTACCACAAAGTTTAATGTTTCTTCACAGATAAAAAGCCATAAACACATGTCATTCTTTTGCCTCTGACTAAGAGATTGCATTTAACTCATTGCCCCAGTTTTTTTTAATTGACCAAAATTATATTTAAAACCAAGTTCTGACCTTTCTGCTGAAGTATTTATGCAGTCAGTGATATGTGTCAAGGATCTGTTTTGAAATGATTCAAGGTTGAGGGGAAGTAGCTAGAAAAATAGCTAATTGTTGAAATATACGTAACAGGAGCATATTAGTATTTTTCTATGTTTGTAGAATTTGAAATTTTTCATAATTTAAAAACGCCCCAGTGAATACTGAAACTCTTCTTTAATAACATTCCATTGTCACACAGTTGGAAAGGTACTCCTGATGATGAGCCAGATCCTCTCAGGTGCAATGTTGTACTGTAAATTTTTTAGATTAAATTTGTTTTTAAATTAAAATTTTTTTCTCAATTTGTAATTGTTAAAGCTATCTAATGGCTTTATGGATTTGATCAACACAGCAGATATAGAATTTGTAGGGGCTCTGCAAAAAGTCAATTTTTAACTTAATTTTCTTTTTAAATAGGAAAAATTAGTTTCTCAGAGAAATTGCTGCTTAGTTTTACAGTTTAAATTATAGTGGTTGAAATTCATTATTAACAATGGCTTTCTTTCTTTCTTCTTTAAAATCTTTTTATTCCTGGATAGGAAGACAGACAGCTTAACAATCAAAAAAAGCCAGCACTGAAAAAATTAACATTATTACCTACTGTGGTTATGCACCTTAAGAAGTAAGTATTGCTTTATTGAAAATGGAATGATAATCAGATTATGTACTGGTGTTCTAAAGATATTAAAGAATGATTGCTTTCTGTCAACTTATAGAAAAATAATAATGAGTTCATAGCAGCACTATTTACAGTTGCTAAGATCTGGAAACAACCCAAGTGTCCATCAGTGGACGAATGGATTCAAAAGCTGTGGTACATGTACACAATGGAACACTATGCAACTGTAAGATCTCTTATCCTTTGAGACGACATGGAGGGACCTGGAGAGTATTATGCTAAGCGAAATAAGCCAGTCAGAGAAAGACAAATACCACATGATCTCACTTATTTGTGGAATGTAATGAACAAGGTGGACTGATGAATGAAATAGACCCAGAGACACAGAAAGGAGTATGGTTCAGACTGACAAACCTCAGAGGACGTGGGGGGGTGGTAGATGAGATGAACCAAAGAACTTATATGCATGTATGCTTGACCAGTAGACATAAACAACAAAGCTAGGAGGATTGGGGGGGACTTGATAGGGAGCAGGGTGTCTGGGGGGGGGGGAAGGAAAAACATCTGTAACAAAAATAAATTAATAAAAATGAAAAAATAATAATAATAAATAAAATTTTCTAAGTTATATTACTTTTTCACAAATTTCTTTTAAGCCTTGATGCCTGATGCGAACAGATCAAATAGCAAACTGAGATTAATGAAAGAAAAACTTGGAAACCACTAATTTTGTTCTTTATAGACCATTCTCAGTCTGGTAAAATTACATCTGTTTTCCCACCGTGAGTGAGAACAGACAAATCCTGGGGGGTGACACACATCTGTACAAGGCTTACACAGTGGTTGTGGCAGGAACCAAGTCATTGGGCCTTTGGAGTAGGACCCATCCTTGATAGATGGTAGTTACCAAGGTCTTCCATTGTTCCTCACCTGCTTTCTCCTTGAGACTGACCACACCCACTCGACGGGTGCGCGTCGGCACACTGGCGCCCACAGCACGGTCTAGGGTTTTCTCTAGGAAATGGCCGCCTCTGATACTGCCATGCTTTCTGTTACCATGATGGATTCTCGCACAGAAAATGAATTTAAATATCAGTATTTTGTTGGTGTTTTTTCTGCTGGTGAATGCTTTTCTCCCTGGTGTCTTACATAATTCTGTTTTCTTCTGAAACAATTTCAGGATTACTGTTCTGGCAGATTAAACATTAGTTCTACAGTTGTGATCATTGGAGCTCATTCTTCTTAACTGCCTGGACCATTTATAGCGACATTGCCCTACATTAACCTATCTTGTGTAATTTTGGTTTGTTTTGTTTTTAACAAATCATCTTTGCCTGTTATGTCTGTTTATGAAACTGGGAACTGAATTTCATATTGCTTTGGAAACCTGTGAATAAGGTGAACAGTAAGTAATGAACGCATGATTGACTGTGGGGGAATCTTTGAAAACCACTAAATATGTAAGAAAATTCAAAGGAAGCTATAGTAGAACCAACATACATAGACTTGACTTTTTTAAAAATTATCATTGCAGGCAGGACCTTAAAGAAACATTTATTGACAGTGGTGTGATGTCCGCCATCAAAGAATGGCTCTCTCCGTTACCCGATAGGAGTTTGCCAGCACTAAAGATTCGAGAGGAGCTGTTGAAAATTCTGCAAGAGGTTAGAGGCAGATAATCTGATTCTTTGCTCGTCATTAATTGTCTGATGTGTTGCGTGTTATGACAACCTCTGTATTTACCATGTACTTACACATTCTCTCTGCCGTAGCCTGCCAGAAGAAGGGTTTGATTCAGTGTGTCTTTCAGGAGCATAACAAAATAAAGTGAGCGTAAAGGGAGGGCCTGGTAAAGTTCACGTAAGCCCAGTGCTGAGGGAAAGGGTGCGAGAGTGGCTGTGGTTTCTGTGCACAGCAGTGCAGTGGGCATGTTCGGGGACCTGGAGTACAAAGAGCACCAACTTCAGAGTCAGACAAACCTGCACTGGGACCTTCAGCTGGGCCACTTTTACGTGGCCGTGACCCCTTGGGAAAGCTGCGTACCTTCCAAGGAACTCCCTGGAAACCTCCTGTGTGCTAGGTGTTCTTATTCCTCACAGCAAATCTGCAAGGCAGGTGTATTGTCTCCAGTTAACAGATGAGGAAATTAAGACTCAGAGAAGTTAGACTTGTCCACGGTCACATTGCTAGCAGATGGCTGTGCTTGGGTTCAGACTTGGGTCTGCTCGATCTGAGGCCACTGCTGACTCTGGTATTGAACTACGGACCTCTGAGTGTGCTTAGTTGCACTTTCTCATGTTGTTCAATTGTGCTTGGATTCAGCACTAATACTGAACTTGCAACTCTTGATGTGAACACAAAAGACCTTTGTGTTCAATACCTGTAGATCCTGAAAATGGAGGTTTTTATTACTCAGAATTATTTTGAATGAACCAGGTCTCAGAGGATCCTCTAGAATAGATGAGCAGGACTCCTGGTTTCTGAATGATTAATGTGTGTGCCTGTGTTTATGTTCTCAGCTACCTAGTGTGAGCCAGGAGACCCTGAAGCACAGTGGGATCGGACGAGCAGTGATGTATCTCTATAAGCATCCCAAGGAGTCCAGGTCCAACAAGGACATGGCAGGGAAACTAATCAGTATGTACATTTTCTTTTTCCTCAGTGTATGTATATATAAAGCTAACTATATTTTTACCAATATTCATTTAAAATGAATCAATAAAGTGAAATGGAAAAAATTTTGGTACCTTCTTATAGGTACCAGTTCTTTCCCCGTAGCCTTAAAATGCTTCTCAGTATATTTAAATATGCAATCCAGTATTAAATACAGCACATAAAATGATGTATTTTCTAATTATGGGTCAAGAGCGTATAGGGAAAGAGGTGGTGGAATGCAGGGCCTGGCATTAGTCACACCTGGTTCAAATCCTGGCTTCACCACCACCCTCACTGCACATCCATAGGCTCATGGTTTCAGTTCTGAGTCTTGGTTTCTTCCTCTGTAAAACAGAGAACTGTGTGTTTACTGTGGGTTTTTGTAAAGATTAAATGAGAGAGTATATATAAAGCACTATATAATCTAGTCAGTTGTCATATTGTTTATGAAATTCTTCAGTCTTAAGAAAAACAAGCATTTTCATCATTCTCCTTAACTCTTCCTGTGCTCCGTGGTGGGAAAGAATTTTTAAACTTCCAAGCTAGATCTAGAAAGCAACTACTTTTGTATCTGAAGACAGTAATTATTTTTCTGTTGAACTTTTAAGAGTATCAAAAGCTTTTAGGGATATTTAATTTTTTTAATAAACCAGAGAAGTATTATCTTTGATCTTGTTACTACCTGTAATTTACTACCTACTAAACAACAAACGTTAATGTTCTGTGCAGTCTTTCTTGACACACTTTTTGCCCTAGACTGAGAGAAGCAGAACGTTCCCACTGCTTAAATCCTTTACACTGGAAAATAATACTCGTTACTCATTATCACAGTGATTCTGAGTCCAGGGCTGGGGTTGGCAGGTCAGTTTTCAGAGACAGTTAGACCACCTCCCCTGAGACTCCTGCTTCCTTTTTAGTTTGAAAACGCCTGTGTTTTGTCTGTGAAGATTCTTTGTCGTTTTGATAGTGTATTAAATGCAAAAATAATCTACATCATGTTTCCAAATAAATGCCCAGTGTTAGCACCTTTGCTTTTTATTTCTTTATCCTCACCCAAGGACATTTTTGCATTTATCTTCAGATAGAGCAGGAGGGAGAGAGGGAGGAAGAGAGAGAGAGAAACATCGACGTGAGAGAGACACATCGACTGGTTGCCACCCACACGACCCCAACCGGGGCTGGGGATCAACTGCAACCAAGGTACATGCCCTTAGTGGGAACTGAACCTGGGTCTCTCTGGTCCGCTGGTCAATGCTCTAACCACTGAGCAAAACCGGCCAGGGCGATGCCTTTGCCTTTTAGAACTAAGCAGGGACTGGGGTGCTTTCCCACGTCTGTCTCGGCAGCCCTCAGTTTCAGTGGGGAGTGGGCCCCAGAGCCGCACCGTTACCTGGGGTTCTTAAAGGTTTGGGCCATTTGACAAGTAACAAGGAAACTTTTGTTTTCTAGAGTAAGAAAGAATTATTTTAAGATTTTGTATTTTTAGAAGAGCTCATTAGAAATTAGGCCGTCTTTATGAAATGTCAACACTTGCTGATGACTGTCAAAGTGAGTCAGATATTACTCTCAATAAGCCTCAGGTGATGACAGGTCTGAACAAATTTTCTGAATCTGCTGGAGCTAGTTGTAATGTTGGTATTATGCTTTGTTTTCCTGAAATAATGGTATCTATAAGGAAAGAATGTTCTAAATACCTAGAATATGACATAACAGTAAGGTGTGGATATTCCAAGAAATGATAAGAGGAATACTACTTTGTGGACTAAATAATTGAGTTTTCCTTGTTATAGATGAATGGTCTCGGCCCATATTTGGTCTTACCTCAAACTACAAAGGAATGACAAGAGAAGAAAGGGAGCAGAGAGACCTAGAGCAAATGCCTCAACGACGAAGGATGAGCAGGTATGAGGGAACAGGTATGAGTAAGTGGAGTACATGTTATTGTCGCAGTAACTCAGCTTTTTTGTGAATCAGAGCAGTAGGAAACCTGCTAAGATGACCGGATTTTGTCTTTCCTCTCAGCTTGATGTGTCTGGGTAGTTCATAATACCCTCTTAATTTTTGTGGGATAATGTATAAGGCAAGGTCCACCCCCCTCCCAGAGCTCTGGTTAGATCTGGTGGAATATGGCCTCTGCCACAGTTGTGGAGGTTGCTTTTCTTGTTTCGGACACTTGCAGAAAAAACTTAGTGCCATGTACAAATTCATAGGATTAAAAAATAATGGTTCACTTTGTATCAATAAACTGGATACAGTTGTATCCTTGGCAGTTAACATTCACCCATATGCAAGGTTAAGAATTATTTTTCCAGCCCTGGTCAGTTTGGCTCAGCGGTTGGAGCATCGACCTGCGGTACAGAGAGACCCGGGTTCGGTTCCCGCTAAGGGCACGTACCTCAGTTGCAGTTTGTCCCCGGCCCTGGTTGGTCGTGCGGGTGGCAGCCACTCGATGTGTCCCTTCACATCAATGTTTCTCTCTCTCTCTCTTCCTCTCTCTCCCTCCCACTCTATCTGAACAAAAAATGGAAAAATGTCCTCGGTTGAGGATTAAAAAAAAAAAAAAAGAATTATTTTTCCAGTGTAAAGGATTTGTGGTCTAAGTTTGATATTTCACTTTGCTCTTATTTTCTTAAGTAGTTCTAAGATGCTAACATTCCTAATATTTCATTGATGACTCTCCTAGCACTGGTGGTCAGACACCTCGAAGAGACCTGGAGAAGGTGCTGACTGGAGAGGAGAAGTAAGGATTTTTTTTTTTTTTTTCTTGAACTATATATAGAGAGAGTCTGTTTGATGCTTTAAGAAAAATGGCAAATGAAATTATGTATGTTCACATTGATGAGGGATGATTTTCAGTTTAAGATTCATTAACTGTCCACAAAGCATTGTACTGGGTGCTCTGAAGGATCCAAGGAAGATAGAGAAATAATTCATTCAACGAAGATGTTAGCCCTGGCAGGTGTGGCTCAGTGGGAACATTGATTCCCAGTTAGGGTACGTGCAGGAGGCCGCTAATTGACGTTTCTCCCTCCCTCCCTCCCTCCCTCCCTCTCTCTGGAATCAGTGTTTTTTTAGAAGTTGTGGTGGCAGTAGTCTTAAAAAATTAATAATAAAGATCTTACTGCTGCTTGCTATATACTAGACTTCTGCATTAATTTCTGGGAATACAAAATCAAATTAAAAATAGTCCAGCCCGGCCGGTGTGGCTCAGTGGTTGAGTGTTAACCCATGCACCAAGAGGTGGCTGGTTTGATTCCCAGTCAGGGCACATGCCCAGGTTGTGGGCCCAGTCCCCAGTGGGGGGCATGCCGGAGGCGGCCAGTCGATGTTCTCTCTCATTGATATTTCTATCTCTGTCTCTCCCTGTCCCTTAACTCTCTCAAACATCAGTAAAGAAAAAGAAAAAATTAGTCCCAAGTCCTCCAAAAAAGTCTTTAGAGGGATTCTAGACCAAGAGAGAGCGTAAGCAAAGGTGTGGGGTAAGCGTGTGCAAGGCCTGTTTCAGGAATGGCAGTGGGCTGAGGGGTGGCCGTGGTTGGTGCCTGAGACGTGCACGGTGAGTGTGGAAATGTAGGTGGGGGCCAGATGTTAAGCAGTTTTAAATCAGGATGAAGATTTTCTCTCCTCTGATTCCGCGTGGAAGGTTTCTGAGCAAGAACACCAAGTCATCAGGTTTGCCTTGAAATGCTGGTGTTTGGATGGTACAGGGTGGGTGGAGGGGAGGGACTGAGGCAGTGAGATAGTTGAACTGTCTGTGTGATGGGGAAGCAGAAGGTTGGGAACACTTTGAGGGGCAGAATTGCCAGGAGCAGGGAAGAGTTGGCTAGATTTGAAGACACCAACCAAAATGTAACCGAAGTGGCAGAGATGGTATTCTCTGAAAGGAGGGGGGGCAGGTCTGGGAGGGAAGCTGAGGAATCCATGCAGGAATAGAGTGATGGTGAGACCAGACCAGCTGAGACAGTGGAAGGTGGGCTGGGCAACCTGGGAGGTCAGGAGGTTTGAGACAGGTGTGTCTGAACCTGCACGGGCGTGCTCTGCTGTGCTTGGCTACATGCGTGTTCTTCTTCTCAGGGCCCTCAGACCTGGAGACCCTGGGTTCTGTGCCCGCGCGCGAGTGCCGATGCCTTCCAACAAGGACTATGTGGTCCGGCCCAAGTGGAACGTGGAGATGGAGTCGTCCCGGGTGAGCAGGCAGGGGAACAGCAAGGCGGATCTCAAATGCAAGCACTCTTTTGTGTCTGATTTCACATGTAAAGCCCGCACCTGCTCTTGAGGGTTACCTGATTCACCTGGTTTCAAGACAGCTGCTCTCTGCTCCCTTACCCAGCATGTCATTTGTCGCTCTGAGCTTTACTTCTGACTTCAAGCGACATCTAGTCAGCAGTTTTTTCTTACCTATCCCTTTATTTCAACCAAATCTTGGAGCCTAGAGTGTTCTGATACAGTCATTTCCTTAGAACCATGAGAATCAGAACTCACCTGCCTCTGCAATGACCCCTCCCCTTTCTCTCCAACTGCTTTAAGTGATTCTGTTGTGATATGGAGGGTAGACACTTCCTCTGTCATCCCTGTAAATACTGCTCAGTGATCATTGCTTTTTAGTAATCTTTTTTTTATTCTCCATTCCAACCACTCTTTCTAGCCTGGTATTCTTAAAAAGGGCCTAAACCGATTGGAAAAGCATAAGAGGCGATTTGCTGAACAGAAACGACTCAGCAGAGTGCACCGTGCAGTCAAGTTCAGCATTGAAGGCAACAGGATGCCCCTGTAGGCCTGGCCCTTCCAGAGTGTATCCAGGAGGTATCCCCAAGGAGGGTGCTCTGCATGGGCTTGACCTGGCGGTAGCTGGAATGAAGATGTGTGTGTGTACTTGCTTAACCAGACAAGGCCAGGCCCACGTTTAGTTTCTGAATAATGACCCTAACAGGCACTGGGTGACATTTAGGTCCTCCTGAACATTTAATTGACACAGAAGTCGTCTCCGCTTATATCGGTACAATGGAGACCAACAGATAACCACTTCCCTGACACGTATTTTGGTCCTTCTGACTGGTACCCATTTTTATTAAAAGGTGGCCTGTGTTGCAGGCACATACACCAGTTAGCAGCTTGGTGGGGGGGGTTGGCTTCTTTTGCTATTGTCAGTGGCTCAACAACGTGAATCTGAGAACTCGTTGCATACAGCCTGGCTCTGAGTGTTTAGGAGGGAAATTTGGTGAACACGTACTCAGTATGTGGTTGGGAACAAAAGAGACTTTGGAGGAGAGTCAGTCTCGCTGACCTGCTGTGCCCTGCAGCCTGCCGTTCTCCAGTTCAGCGCCGCAGAGTCTGCATCTGTCCTTCCCTCCTTTTGTCCATGTCCAAGGGCCTCAGTGTCCCTTCACCCCAACACCTGTCCTTTCACTTTACTGTCTCCCTTTCCCCTCTTTGTCTCTCTCTCTCCTGTTTACAATGTGGCAAAGGAAATGTCCTAAGCAGTCGGTGCGAGCCGTCTTCTTTGGAAGCCTGCCTTTGTCCTGAGGGCACGCACCTGCCTGCTGCTGTTGATGCTTCTGGCCCCGCCTTGCCTGTGGGTGACAGAGTGGTGGGAGAGGTGGCCCAGCCACCTGGAGCAGATAGGTGACCAGCAGAAGGAGAGGGAACGTCCAGTAGAGTTCCTTTCCTTCATCCTCAGCAGGCCCAAGGTCATGATGTGCTGGTACTGATCTAGGACTGAGTGGCTGATGGAGCTCTTTTGAAAAAAATACATGTTTGGGGGCTGATGGTTCCATTGTACATTTCCGCATATCGTTCTTAAGCCCCTGGCAGTTCCTGCTCAGGAAGGCTTTCGCACATTCACTCGGGGCTTCCCTTGTCCCCCACCAGTGCACACGAACAGGCGCCACGTCCAGGAGGAGAGTGGAGCGAGGGAGGCTTTCCTCCGACAGGCCTTGTTCCATGGGGGGGGCAGAAGTAGGGTTGCAGTGTTTATGGAAAACACTGCAATAATTGATAGATAATGATACAGTGATGTGTTCTACTTTCTGTACTCACAACTGGAACCCTGCTTTTACCCACTCCTCTGTCATTCTTATATTTGAAAGTAAATAAGTAAACATCAAACACTACAGAATAACCCTATTCCCAAAGTCCTGCCCTTCCCAAGTCACCACTGATAACAATTTAAAGTGTTAAATGCATCTCCTACCCTGGCCGGTTTGGCTCAGCAGTTAGAGCGTCGGCCTGCGGTCCAGAAAGACCCAGGTTCAGTTCCTGTTAAGGGCGCGTACCTTGGTTGTAGTTTGTCCCCGGCCCTGGTTAGGTCAGGGCCGTGCAGGAGGCAGCTACTCAATGTGTCCCTTTCATGTTGATGTTTCTCTCTCCCTCCCACTCTTATCTGAACAAAAAATGGAAAAATGTCCTTGGATGAGGATTAAAAAAAAATGTATCTCCTGTAATGCTTCAAACTTAGTTTTTTGTTGTTGTAATTGTAGAAAAATTTGAGATAATGAAAAGAAAAATCATCCGCTATTCAAAAGCACTTATATTTTTTGCTTTTTTTACTCTTGCTACTTTAAAATTACCCTGACATAATTTTGATCACTTCTCATAGGTTTATCATTTTTAATGGCTGCATAATAGTGTATCATGTGAATATATAATGTGTTTATTTCTCGGTAGTTTCTGGTTTTTCCTAGGTGCTTTTAAAATAACATTAAAATGACAAAAGCAATACATGCTTTTTTTTTTTTTTTTTTTTTTTTAAATCCTCACCCGAGGATATTTTTCCATTTTTTGTACAGATAGAGTGGGAGAGAGAGAGAGAAACATCGACGTGAAGGGACACATCAAGTGGCTGCCACCCGCACGACCAACCAGGGCCGGGGACAAACTGCAACTGAGGCACGTGCCCTTAGCGGGAACCGAACCCGGGTCTCTCCGGACCGCAGGCTGACGCTCTAACCGCTGAGCCAAACTGGCCAGGGCAGCAATACTGTACATGCTTTTATATAAATTTTTAAATACATAAAACACAAATAAAATTAATGTCACTTGTAAACTCACCACACCTTAACATTAACATTTCGAGGTACTTCTTTTTTTTGTTGTTAATCATCACCCGAGAATATTTTTCTGTTGATTTTTAGATAGAGTGGAAGGGAGGGGGAGAGAGAGACATTGATGTGAGAGAGACACATTGATCAGTTGCCTTGCACACAACTCTGACGAGGACTGCGTATCGAGCCTCCAACCCAGGTACGTGCCCTTGACTAGGAATTGAACCCATAACCCTTTAGTTTACAGACCAGTGCTCTAACCACTGAGACAAACTGGCCAGGGCTTTAGTGGTTCATTCTCTAAGCATACAATAACATTGTTACTTGTTTTGGGTTTTTTAACTGATAAGCAAAATCTTGGTCATATTTTGTTTCTTGTTTGGTTTGTCTTTTACTGGGCATGGTGAAATATCTTTGTAGTAAACATTTTTTTTTTTCTTTCTTTTTTTATCCTCACCCAGGACATTTTTCCATTTTTTGTTCAGACAGAGTGGAAGGGAAAGAGAGGAAGAGAGAGAGAAACATCGATGTGAAAGGGACACATCCAGTGGCTGCCACTCACACAACCCCAGTGGGGGCCGGGGACAAACTGCAACCGAGGTACATGCCCTTAGTGGCAACAGAACCTGGGTCTCTCGGGACCGCAGGCCGACGCTCTAACCACTGAGCAAGCTGGCCAGGGCTATAGTAAACCTTCTTTAGTGGCATAATATTGTGTTGGATTACAGTTGTAATTGTAAGCAAACCCATCTTTGCTAAAGTTTTAGGCTACTTTGGGTTTTTCACTGGTAAGACAGCGCTAAACTGTCCACTCTTGCTGTCCTGAGGAAGTGGCATGGCGTTGATGAGTCAGGAAAGGTCATTGAATTGAGCGTGTAGGCAGTGTTCTGTGTTTCAGGCTTGGGGTCACTAGGCACGGGCAGCTGCAGCCTCCCGAGCTGTGACTGGGAGCAGACCAGCACGGCATTGCTGGGGTGGGAGGGCTCGGACTGCAGAGGAGGTCCTGGGGGTGAGCAAGGGGAAAGCAGACTGGTGTGTAGTCCTCCTGGGAGTTGGGGAGTTGGCAGGGGTATGAGCGGATAAGATTTCCAGTGTGGACTGACTGCAATATTATAAATCAGGTTACATTATCTGAAAGGAAGTCAGATATTTGGGATTCTTCAGGAAATCTGGGATATTTAAACTCTGGCCCCCAAGTTCAAATGTGGCTGATGTTCAAAGGTCCCCCCTCTGCATCTCTCCACCTCTTCCCCCAGGGGGTGTTCAGGAGGGGGTGATGGCCGCACACTTTTTCTAATCTGATCGTGAATTTTTATGCTAACTCGGTATTAGTGCCAAGTACTAAAATTGATAAAAAATAATATTTAGAATTGGGATATTTCTAGAAAATCTAGGGTTGATGATCAGCATGGCTCTTATTCAGGAATGTCAGACTTAGGAGCACTTCTTGCTTGTCTGAATGTGGAGTTGAGTCCAGAGGTGGGTAGCCACTGGGAAGGCGCCCTGACTCAGGGGCACGTCTCCACGCTGGCACTGACCTGGAGTGTCTCCCAGGCCCTGCCTCCTTTTAGCATTGAGCTTCACAGGTGACTTACTAGTAAGCCTGGGGAGAGAAGAACTAGGAAAACCCATCTCATTGTAACCATGCAACATTATTAGAGGTTGCAGTTGTTAGCAACACTAGAGTCAGCAGGAGTCCACCCTGGTTGACATGATGGCAGGCCTTTTCACCACTTCTAAAGGGTACCGATTTATTGGAGACCACATTTTTTTAAAGCATACAAACTTTTCGATGTAAAAGAAATAACCTAATAACCAAACCTTTAAACATAAAGGGTAAGCAGGAAGAGATGTAAGAAGTAGGAAGCCCCTTGAATTGACTTAATTTTCTTTTTATGCCAGATATACTTATTTAACCTAAATCTCATTGATTGCAAAGTAGTAGTGATACTAGTCATAGTGATACTAGTCGTAGTGATGCTGTGAGCAGTGTGTGCTGGCCTCTGCTTTGTCTGACGGTGCTCTCTTGTTTCCTTCCCCCAGTAGTCCTGAGGGGCACAGGCGGGGTGTGGGCTGCCCAGGGCCACAGGCCTCCCGAGGCAGAACAGGGTCCCCCAGTGGGAGACCAGAGCTCCGGCACTGCCTGGCTTGGCTTTGCTAACCCTGACCCATCTATCATACTTACGACTTTTTCTCAGATGACTTTCCTTGTCTTAGAAGATGATCCTGTACTCCAGCACTGTGTGAGGGTGTGTATGTCAGGTGGTCGGCTCCACATCTAGTCTTTGCAAAGGAAAAGCACACAGTACATGTAATCTGAGGGGACTGGGGGATCATAGCTTCGATCTTTCCTCCTTTCTCTCATCTAGGAGATTTCCATGGACTGAGAACAAATGTACCAATAAGGCACAGACAACAGCAAAAGTATTCTTCACTGAGAGTTTGGGTTTTCTGGCATTGCTGTGTGCCCTTGCTCTGTTGTTTCTAAGGTCACCAAAGCATACTCTGGTAATTTCAGAGCTGGGAGCTCTTCTGACTGCTCACTTTCAGATAGAATATGAAAGACAAAGCTAGATTTATATGTTTCAGTAATTGCTCTTTAATTTTTACCCCACTTTCAGTTTCAGGGGACCTCCAAGAAGGGTATCAGTCGACTGGATAAACAGATGAGAAAGTTCACCGATATCAGGAAAAAAAGCAAATCTGCACACGCAGTGAAAATCAGCATCGAGGGCAATAAAATGCCTTTGTGACCTGCCTGGGGTGTGTCCCCAGCTCTGCTTGAAGAAACGCGCAGTGGACTCTGGAGGAAGAAGAGGGTATTTACACTTTTTAGGGCACCTGTAGATGGTTCAGCTCGTGTCGTAGCACTTGTCTTTCTCTCCACTGTATTTAAACCATTTCTTGTGTCCTTTGTACAGAAGAATACTACTCTCTCTTCTCTAAACTTTACACAATAAAACTCCAGTCTGGTTTTGGGAGGCTGTCTCTTCATTGCCTTAGAGGACTCATTAGTGGGGGTGAAAATTGTTTCTTGGTGAATGAGAAGGACTATTAGATATTACGGTGGTTTGTGATCTTTCCAAGTGCAGGCCTGCCTACTGTAGTGTAATAAGGCATTTGTCTGGTCTGTCCTGGGCTCCTGAAGAGGAGCTTCTAAAGCTTGTGGGTTTCCTGGGTGATGGGAGTATCTTTGTGATTATAATGAGGTGACTCCTAGTGAGCCCCCATATAGCTTTAAGAAGGGGGTCTAGTCACCCCTTCGTAAACAGATGAGGTCTGTTGTGGAGGGTAGGACTGGGCAGGCCTAACCTGAGAGATGCTGAAGATGGAGTACAATCATTCAGTCATGTGGATAATGATGTAATCAGTAGTGCCTAAATAGTGAGGCCGGTGTGGCTTAGTGGTTGAGCCTTGACCCGTGCACCAAGAAGTTGCCAGTTCGATTCCTGCTCAGTATACACGCCCAGATTGTGGGCCTGATCCCCAGTGGGGAGCATGCAGGAGGCAGCCAGTCAATGTTCTCTCTCATCAATGTTTCTCTCTCTCCCTCTCCCTCCCTCTCTAAAAAAAATCAATAAAGGAAAAAAAAAATAGGCCCTAGTGAAAAACTCTAAATAACAGCCCTGGCCAGTTTAGCTCAGCGGTTAGAGTGTCGGCCTGCAGACCAGAGAGTCCCGGTTTTGGTTCCCGCTAAGAGCACGTACCTAGGTTGCAGTTTGTCCCTGGCCTGGGTTGGGGTTGTGGGTGGCAACCAGTCGGTGTGTCTAATATTGATGTTTCTTTTCCTCTTTCCCTCCCACTCTATCTGAAAATGGATGCAAAAATGTCCTTGGGTGAGGATAAAAAGAACTCTAGATAACAAAGCTCAGTGGGGCTTTCTGTTGGTGAACATACTGTTATGCTGAGATGGTGACGAGCCTTGATTCCACCAAAAGAGGGTGTGGACGCTGTTAGTGCTCCAGACCTTGCCCTGTGTGTCTTCATTTGGCTGGTCCTCCCAATCTGAATTCTTTATAATAAAACTATAAATACAGTGCTTTTCTGATTCTTGAGTCATTCTAGTGAATTCTTGAACCTAATGGGTCTGCCAGAAGTGGGGATGGACTACTTGGAGCCAGCTGGTGGGATGGGGACAGTCTTGTAGGGGGCTGAGCCCTTAAACTTGTGAAGTCTGATGCTGACTCCAGATTGTTAATGTCAGAATTGAATTGCAGTATCCTCGGGGTTAAAACAACCTACCAACACAATTTCATTTCTTGGTATCTCTCTCGTTAGGGAAATTTTCACTATTTGATTTCGATTACAGGCACACCCCAGAGATATAGCAGACTCAGTTCCAGACCACCTCAGTAAAGCAAGTCACACAAGCCTTTTGGTTTCCCAGTGCATATAAAAGCTGTTACACTACATTGTAGTCTGTTAACTATGCGGTAGCATTATGTGTTAATGTGCATACCTTAATTTAAAAATACGTTATTGCTAAAAATTGCTAACCATCAGCATTGCTGGTGGAGGGTTCTTGCCTCGGGTTGATAGCTGCTGACTGGTGAGGGGGTAGTTGCTGAAGGTTGGGTGGCTGTGGCAATTTTTAAAAACAAGACCATGGAGTTTGTTGTACTGCTTGGCTTTTGTTCACGAACGGTATCTCAAAGATCACTGATCATAGATCACCATAAGAAATAGAATAATGAGAAGGTTAGAAGTATTGCAAGAATGACCAAAATGTGGCGAAGTGAGCAAACACAGGGAAAACAGCACTGATAGATGTGCACAATGGGTACCACAAACTCAAGTTTGGGGGAGGGGACGATGTCTGCAGTGCGGTAAAGCGAAATGTGATGAAATGTGTGTACAGTTTCGATGTAGGTGGTCTCCTTTGGGGACTCTACAAAGTAAAGAAGATTGGGAAGTACAGTAGTCCTAGAGGAAGTGTGGATATAACATAGCATCACTATACCAGTTGCTTCTAGCAGTCAGACAATTGAGAGAGGCATCATTATAGCTATGGCTATATTCTGTTTGGGGGATACTTTTAAATTATTTTACATCAGATTTAATTAGAAAACTGATCAGTCCAAATGATGAAAGTACCCGTAGTTTGCTTTAACTTCAGGAAGCCTGCTCTGATAGAAATTGGTGTAGACTTATGGTCAAGACGGTAGTGCAGGTGAACACAGTACTGGCACCCTGCCACGCCCACATTGAAACTGCAACTGATGGACAGAATGGCCACCACTCAGAACTACACAGAACCTGGCAAACAGAACCCCTGCCCAGGGTTCTGGTGCCAGGAAGAGAAGTCCCCATAACTTCTGTGAAAACCAGTGGCGACTGTGGTTGAGTGAGACGGGGGGCCTCTCGAGTTTCTCTTAAAGGACCCACACATAGGCTCACTCAATTCCAGCACTGGGGCAGCAGTTCAAAAAGTGCCTCAGATAAATGGGGAAGAACCGAATTGTCTGGCTTCAGGGTGAAGGCTACTGGGGTGGGGGTGGGCAGATTTCTCCCAGAAGTGCTGGCAGAGGTCATTGTTCCTTTGCTGAGCCCTTCACAGTTCTGGCAGGCGGGCACCGTATCTGAGTCTCCATCAACCTGCCTCACACTGTTTACCCGGCCCTGGTGATTCCCCACCCCCCACTGATCCAAGCTATTTCCAGTGGCTTTTCCATACTACTGGCCTCAGTGTACTACCTCCTGCTAAGTGGCCCCAGGCCCGGCAGTAATGGCAGCTGGCCTTTGGTTGCAACTTGGCCTCTCCTGGGCACCTCTAAGCACAGCACAAGCAGCAGCCATCTGCGGATCACTCTGTAGCTGGGGCATGGTGCTTTTGGTCAGGGCACAAGTGGTTGTTGACCTTGAACTCCAGGGAGGCCCCAAAGCCAGTACACCTGGTGGACAGTTTCAGACCATGGTAGATTACAACCCTACCACCTCCATGAGAGACTCAAGTGGTAGACACCAAACCCCCACAGAAGCAAGCCCTGCTCCATAGGATGGGCCTCTGAACCGCAACTCCTCTGTAGTTGCAGCCGGTCCTCCCAGCAGACCTCCCTGCGAGTCAATCCCTCCCAATGATGCCAATAGCAATCAAGGCTCAACTACAATTGGACAATGCACAGAGACCACAAAGGGATGCACTGGAGTGCCTAGCTCAGATGACTGTGAGGCTAAACCACTGAGCCCTTCAGGACACCTACTACACAAGGCGATGCTGCCAAGTCTGGGAGACATAGCAGCTCTACCTGACACATAAAAACAAACAGGGAAATGGCCAAAAATGAGGGGACAAAGAAACAGGTTTCAAATGAAAAAAAAGGAAAAATCAGAAAGAAAAAACTAAATGAAATGGAGGCAAACAAATGATCAGACACAGAGTTCAAAACAATGGTTACAAGGATGCTCAAGGAACTTAAGAACTTCAACAGCATGAAAAGGACATGAAACCATAAAAAGAACCTTTCAGAAATGAAGGATACACCAACTGAAATGAAGCATAAATTACAGAGAATCAACAATAGAGTAGATGAAGCAGATAATCAAATCAGCCATTAGGAATATAGGGAAGAAGAAAATACCCAATCAGAACAGCAAAAATGAAAAAAGAATTTTTAAAATTTAGGATAGTTTATGTTTTAAGGAGCCTCTGAGACAACTTCAAATGTACCAACATTTGCATCACAAGGATACAGGAAGGAGAAAAGATAGAGCAAGAAATTGAAATCCTATTTTGAAAAAATAATGATAGTAATCTTCCCTAATCTGGGGAAGGAAGTAAACATAGAAGTCCAGGAAGCTTAGAGAATTCCAGATGAACCCAAAGAGGCACACACCAAGACACATCAAAATTAAAATGCCAAAGGCAAAAGACAAAGAGAATTTTAAAAGCAGCCAGAGGAAAGCATATATTTACCTACAAGAGAGCTCCCATAAGACTGTCAGCTTATTTCTCAACAGAAATATTTCAGACTAGAAGGGAGTGGCACCAAAGTGATGAAAAGCAAGGACCTATAACCAAGAATACTCTATCCTGCAAAGCTATCATTTAGAATTGAAGAAAAGATAAATAACTTCCCAGGCAAGAAAAAGCTAAAGGAGTTCATCATTGTTACCAGTGTTACCTAGAAATGTTAAGGGGTCTTCTTTAAGGAAAAGAAGGGGAAAAAATGATTTAAAATATGAATAATAAACAGTCATAAGAAAGAATAAAATCTTACTATTTGTGACAGCATGGATGTACCTAGAGGGTATTATGTTAAGTGAAATAAGTCAGAGAAAGACAAACACCATATGACTTGACTCATATGTGGAATATAAACAACAATATAAATAAACAGAAACAGACTCATTGATATAGAGAACAGACTGATGGTTGCCAGATGGGAGAGGGGTTGGGGAACTGAGTGGAAAAGGTGAGGGGGTTAAGAAGTATAGATTGGTCATTACAAAATAGTAAAAATATTAAAAATTTTCTAATCACTATGTTGTACACCTGAAATTAATGCCAAATATAGAATATAAACTTTATAAAAAAAACTAGAATACGAAGCAAGATGGCTGAAGCCTAAGGAAGTTCCGTCTGCTTGCTCCACGCAAAGGACCAGACCTGAAGCTAAACTGCAGCACATTCGACTTGAAAAACCACCTGAAAATAGCTGATTGGAAATACTGTGAGCAGAAAGTGTAGAAAGGAGACAGGAGAAGACCCAGGGAAAGGGGGCCAGCACATCTGCCTCTGAGAGCAGGGGACTCAGCCCCACACAGGGATCCCCAAATAAGAGCAATGGAGAAGGGAAGGGGAGCCCATATAGCATTGGACAGTGGGAATTGGGGGTGATTTGGCCCACCAGGGTGACTCAGTATTATCTCAGGCTAAAAGCCAGTGGTTGTGGCACCTACCTGGAAAGCTTGCTCTGACTGTGGGAGCCGGAGAGGCCACAAAGCAGAATGGCACACCTGAGAAGGGGTCTGAACAGATCACACAGCAGTGTGTCTGAGGGGCTGAATAGTCGCTGAAAAAAGTTTGATGACAGCCAGAATGCCAGGGGAAAGAGATGCAGTCCTCCCCACCTTGAGCCAAGAACTGGCATTCCTTTCCCCACCAGTAGAAAAGCTCTGAGCTGGAAATCAGCACCCCAGCAGCTGGGCCTGGTGATGCTGGGGATTTGGATGTCTGCCTGGGCAGGAGCCTGGTCAGAAGCCCCACCCAGTGAGAGCCCGGTTGTGCTGAAAGATTAAAAGAGCCAAGCAGAGCATTTTCTGACCCCCCCCCCCCCCATTCTCTTCTGATTGGAGTGGCGATGAGATATGCCAGCAGCACAGGTAGAGCTGAAGCATTAAAAGGAGAGGAAAAGACTGCCTGTCCTTCCTATAAGCTTCAGGCACCACCCCACCATGCAAATCTGTTTAAACCATTCTGACTGAACTGATACCCTGCCAAG